ATCTGTAGCAGAGGTTGATGAAGACGAAGAGCTTGCTCTTGGACCCTTATTTAAAATAGAAGAGAGACGAAAAAGCCAAATAGACCCTAAGCAAACCTACCTACAATATCCATGGCTTCCAAATTCATTTCCAATTTCATCTCCTTTTTCACACCACCAAAACCAAAACCAAAACCACCACCACCCGAAATCCCTCTCCTCTGCCTCTCTCCCTCATCTTTTTCTTCGTCGAAAAACAGAGCTGGGTTTGTTCCACTAGTCACGTCCAATGAGGGCTACAACATATCTTATTTATTAGGTTTGTTCCACTAGTCTCCTCTGCCTCTCTCAATAGCTTCAATTCCACTCACAAGCATCCTACGAAGCTCTCCTCTAAGCTGGCCTACAAAGCTCCCCTCCAATTTATCACCAAACTCATCACCTTCGCTTGCACTGCCGACTCAATCACCTACAGTCGCTACTGTGCCTTCTGTGTCTGTGATGGACTCTCCTTTCTCTCCGGCGGCTAGGATTATTGTTTGTTTAATAAAATAAAATAATAATAAAAAAATATCCGGCGGCTAGGATTTTCATTGTTTGTTTAATAAAATAAAATAATAATAAAAAAATATTAATTAATATTCATGTATTTACAAACTAAAATGAATATAATTTGAAATTTTTAATTGGTATTTTACCATTTTTTAAAAAAGAAAAAAAAAGAAATATTAATATTCATGTATTTACAAACTAAAATGAATATAATTTGAAATTTTTAATTGGTATTTTACCATTTTTTAAAAAAGAAAAAAAAAAGAAATAAGAAAAGAAGAGAATAAAAAATAATTAAGAGAAGAAAAAATAAAAAAGAAAGAAGAGAAAAGAAAATAGGAAGAAAAATAAAATAAAATAAATAAAATGAAGAAAAAGAAAAAGGAAAAGGAAAGAAAAAAAAAAGAAAGGGAGAAAATGACATTATATAGCAAAAAATTATTTTATAACTTATTCAACAAAATACTACTCTATTAATTAAATTTATAATCTCAAAATTACATTAAACAAATTAATAATTTATATTTAAAATTATAATTTATAATAGGTTAAGTCCTAATTTATAATTACTTTTTTCCGTCACTAAGCAAACGGCCCAACATTTGATTCTTCTCAATCAATTCTTGTTGGTGGGAATAGCATGCTTCGTAGATTGTTATTTGTCCCATCATGGCCATTTAAGCATTCAGTGGTGGTAGGGACCCCAGTGGGGCATCCTCAGCACCCAGTAGCCCAAAAATAATTTTTTTTCCTTTCCTTCTAATTACGCGGTGCCGCATGGCATGGGGGTCACTGGAGGTCACTGTGGGTGGGGTCTCAAGCTTTATTCTTAAGCATTTCTGTGTATCCCAAAAGAAGCGGACAGTTCAACCCTTTCTATTCTTAGCCATTAATTTTATTGATAGTAATGATTTAAAGTTTTAAATAAGAAATTTTAAATTTATTATTAGTGACGTGGAAATAAAAAAAATAAAATAAAATAAAATAAAACAAAACAAGACACAACATATATTGGGCTATTTTGGGAACTTGGCTAAAAGCCACTTTTTTTAGTTAGTAGCAAAAATTAAAAGTTGGCTTTTTTGGCTTTTTTTTCATTTGGCAAGTTGGTTTTTAGCCAACGGTGCAATTACAATTTTTACCCCTCATGGGTCACAATGTGTTACATAGGTTCAGTTGTAAATATTTTAAATAAATGGGGGTAGTTTAGTCATTTTATTATGATTTGACATCATAAACAAATATTAATCAAAAAAGTCAAAAGTCACTTTTTACCAACTTTCCAAATCATTTGTCTAAAAAAGCCAAAAGCTTGGTTAAAAGCCAAAAAATCACTTTTTACCATCTTCCCAAAACAACCCAATGACTTGAATCTTTGGAGGGGTAATGGATCTTTGGAGGATTGTTACGTGAATAATGACTTGAATCTTTTTTTTTCTCACCCCTTTGACTCCCTCTTTACTTGATTGGTTACTTTTTTTTTTCTTTTTTTCTTTTTATTCATTCTACTTTAATCATCACCCGCCATGTATATGTGAAGAAGTGATAAAAATAGTGATTAGAGGAATCTCAATCATCACCCTTGCTCCGTGTCTCCCATCAACTACTTTCTTCATATTCCCTATACATCTCCATAGAAATAGCAACAGTCGAGTTTTTTTATTCTTAGCCATTGCAGTGTCCTTTATCTCTTGGTTGGATGCTCGCCAAGTGGTGCATCTCTTGAAAATCTTCCAGTTGATTTATTGATGTGGCCATTAGGAGAATCAATCCTAATTTAATAAGAATCTTTTGATTTAACAACTCAACCCATTTCATCATTGTTCATCATTGATTTATATCCCAAAATAGTAGGCCTGCTATGGAGACCTCTGGAATGAAGATCCTCTCCTTGCAGCTTTCGTGTTTGCGTCCGTCCTTGCAGGCCTACGGGTCTATTTTTAGGCCTAATTTTGATAATCCGAACTGTTCATATTTTATGATTTATTCAGTATATCATACCTGTAAAAAATCAAGTTGATCGGATATCAGAAAGCATATGTTCGGAAAACTGTTTATTAAATTCTTTAAAAAATAGTGTTTAGTTTAATTTTTCAAACACATACTTTCTGATATCCGATCAACTTGATTTTTTACAGGTATGATATACTGAATAAATCATAAAATATAAACGGTTCGGATTATCAAAATTAGGCCTAAAAATAGACCCGAAGGCCTACAAGGACGGACGCAAGCACAAACTTGCAAGGAGAGGCTCCTGACTCCTAGAATTACATACTATCAGACTTTTATATTCCAGATGGCACTTTTTCGGAGAATTCTATTTACATCTGAAAAATAATTGAGTATTCTTAGACCAAGTTTGGAAAGACTAAATAAGTATATTTTTTAACTTTTTTTATATTATGTGTAAAAAAAGTAGAGATGAGATGTTGATTGATGTGACCCAAAAAAGATAAAAAGATGAAATAAGTGTATTTTTTTAGTTTAGCCAAACTTGACCTTAATTTCTAAATACACTCTGCTTAATTATTTAAAATTTTATGTTATTTTCAGTATATTTTATAATATTTTTCAAATAACCCTTGAGTAAATCTAAATAAAAAATAATAATAAATTTTTTTAAAACAAATGTCAAACTAATTATCAAAACATATCTTCAATGAAGAAATGATAATGTGATCAATCCAAAAATTACTGTTTGTAAGGACAATCCAACTAATTTATTTGTTTTTTTTATTATTATTATTATTTTGAAGAAAAAGTGAATATAGATTATTAGGCCCCTATGGTGATCATTTGGGTTTTACCGGTGAAAAATAGTTTGTGAATTGTTCCTTATTCAATTGTTTGGATTTTAGATTCGTAAAAATAGAAAAGTAGAAACAAATCGAAAATCCAAACACAATTTAGTAGACAACATATGGAGATTGTTGTTAATAACTTGTGATAGAATTTATTTTGTTGTTTAATTCTATCAAAACTTCTACATCAGAGCTTGAAGTTCAGTTTGAATTGAGAATGACCAAATTATGTGATCATCTAAAAGTGTATTAATTTTGAAAAACAGTTTAAAAAGATATTGAGGTTGTATGGCTCAACTTTAAATGGTTTCATATTCAATTGAATACGTAAATTGTTTTAAATTTGGAGAAGTTACACAATATTTTGATTATTACTCTCATTTATTGTTGGATTTTGTTCAAATTTTCTTCTAGGGTTTAGGGTTTCAAAATAATAAAAAATAATCAGTTTGTTAGGTTATAGCTTTCAGAAAATAGCTTTTAGAAAATTCTATTTTTTTATTTTCCGTATTTTAATGTTTTTCATGATTTTTTTAATACTTTAAGCAATATTTTTTAATTTTTAGACATATAATATAAATATACCTACAAAGTATAATATTTGTGAAAAAAATCTTTAAAAAATAAACTAAATACCAAAAATATGAAAATTCAGTACATTTTTTGTATTTTTGTGTATTTAATAATTTTTTAAAATATTTTTTCACAAATATTTTACTATTTAGAAACATCTAAGTAAGGTGCATCTAAAAATGCAAAAAAAAAAAAAAATTACTTAAAATTTAAAAAATATTCACTAAAAACAAAAATTAAAAAACACGAAAAACAAAAAAAACTTTGGCCTTGTTTGATATAACTCTTAAAACATAATTTTTGAAAAAAAATTTCAAAATTTTGTTTGGTTGGAATTTTTTTTAAAAAAAATTTAAAAATCACTTTCTCTCTCCTACACATCAATCAATCACTTTTTCTCTTTTCTCTCTCATTCTCAATCATTTTTTCTCTCACACACATTTACTCAATTACAACAAAATATCAAATCATTTCAAATTCTCAAACTCTAAAACTATTTTCAAAATATACAACTAAATAAATCAAAAAAAATTCTAAACTTTCTCCCCAATTTTTTTTTTTTTTAAATTTATCTAAAAACACAAATCAAGCACACTTTTAGTTTTCAAAAAACTGAAACCAAACACACTGAATGATGTTGATGATAATGGTAAGTTTTGGTAAGATGTATTGGAGTTTTGGAGGACAGATGAAGATGAAGAAGAAGAAGAAATAACTTTGATCTCTCGGGGAAGAAGATACAGAGATTTGAATAAGAATAATTAATTATGGTGTATCATGAGAATTTTTTTTTTTATTTTAAGATTTAATATATATTATCCTTATTAGTAAATTTACATTAAGATATAATATGAATTTAAATTGGGCGTATTGAGATATTTTTAGGGTTTAAATAGAAGGGTTTTTTTACTGGCCGGTCCTACCTTTTATACTTATTCCCCTCTTAGTCCTGAGTTTTGCTCTTGTGCACCAACAGGTCCTGAGCCTTTTTTTTTTGGTACCGTTTTACCCCTCCTCTGTTTTGGCACGTTTCTGTTTAGATTTTCCATCAAAATATTGTGTTATGCGTATGGGTTTGTGATTTGGATTTCTATGGAACTTCACGATTTGCTAATGTATTATTATGGAGCTTTTGTGATTTGTGATTTCGCGCTTGGTGTATTTTCACGATTTGTGATTTGCGATTGCGTGTTTGGTGAATCTTCCTATTTGCGATTTCGCGTTTGGTGTATTGTTACATCTTCTGATTTGCGATGTTGTGGAGTTAGGTTGACTGGTATGTTTGATTTTGATTTCAATTTCAATGTTTTGGCTGTTTCAATTTCAATGTTGTGGAGTTAGGTCGACTGGTATGTTTGAGTCAGGTCGACTGTATTCTGATTTTGTTGTGATATTGTTGTTACTCTGTTGTTTCTGTTGCGATTGAATTTGTATTTTGATCATGATATTGAAAGCTTTGAGATATGTATATGCAAAGAATTTTATATTTTTGTTTGTTTTTGTTACGAAATTGCCTTGATTGAACACAGGTGCTGGTTTGTTATTTTATACAGTGATAATTTTATCACTAAGTATTTTGGGGGTGTTGTTGGATTAACTTTTTTCAACAGTGATAAATCTATCAGTGAGTATGGGAATAGGAGATGAAAAGGTTGCATAATGTAATGGTAAGATTCAAATCGAGTTACCATGTCTAATAAATGCAAGCCTCATTCACTGTTCTTGGTCTTTGGTGGTGTTAACTGTTAAAGTTATCAGTGTTGGTTTTTTGTTGTGTTTGAGTTGGTTAATAATTTTATCACTGTATTTGATTTTGTTTTAGGGTGTTTGAGTTGTTTGCTGAAATATAATTGTTGTTTGTTGTAGGATTTATAGTGATGGAAAATTGTTTGTTTCTTATGTGCAAGTTTAGAGGTGTGACACTGGTTATCAAGTATAATGATGGATTTAATTTCAATGATTTGGTATATAAATTGTGTGCAAAGTGGAGTGAGTTAGTTTGTAGTTCTTTGAATATATCGTAACATTCTTGTTGTGGTCTACAAAGTGAAGAGGATTTGGAGGTTATGGTTGGACTTGCACTTTCTTGTGATATTCATTGTATTAATGTTTTTGTAAAGTGTTGTTCTTTGGGTGAAGGTTATATGATTTATGATGGTAAAGCTAGTAGTAGTAGTAGTAGTAGTGTTATTTGTGAAACTGATTTTTTGCCTTCATTTTATTCAAATCAACGGAAACCTTTGCTCTCTGATGAGTGGGTTAATTGTTTGAAAAGAGTGGGACAAAGGTTTGCTCAAGAAGTTGTTGAATTTCGAGATGCGTTGTCAAAGTATTCTATTCATTTCGGTTTTGATTTTGATTTTGTTAAGAATAAGGATCGTGTCACTGTTCATTGTAAGAGAATGGCTGATTTGGGATGTTTATGGAGCGTGCATGCTAGAGTGGAAAATTATAGTAAAGATTTTGTTATTAAACAATTTGATGATGTTCATACTTGTGGATCTTCTTTTCGTACAGTTAAACATGCTAGGATGACTTCAAGTATGATTGGTTGGTTAATTTCAAGTGATATTCGTAATAAGGCTTTGACATTGGTTAGTAAGGTAGTTTGTGATTTCAAGGACTATTATGGAATAGAAGTTTCTTATCGGCGAGCTTGGATGGGTGTTGAAAAAGCAAGGGGTCTTGTTTTTGGTGACTATTCATCATCATTTGACGATTTTCGTTGGTATGTTGATGTCTCTAATGATTGTAATCCGGGGAGTGTTTTTGATATGGAATTTGATGTTGATAGTAAAGGAAGACATTTCAAATGCTTGTTTTTCGCTTTTGAGGCATGTATTCATGGTTTCAAGTATTGTCGACCTATGTTGATGCTTGATGGAACTTTCTTGAAAAGAAGACACAAAGGTTGTTTATTGGCTGCTACGACAAAAGATGATAACCAAGGTATATTCTCTGTTTATTTGTTATTATTATTAAAACAGTGATAATTCTATCATTTTTGTTACTAGAGAGTGTTGATTATTGAGTATGGTCAATTTATTAGTGATAAATTTATGCTGTATACTTTTGTTGAATTTTTATATTTATACAGTGATAAATTTATTATTCATTAATTCTATATGCTATATGCTGTTATTGAATTTTTGTAGTTATACAGTGATAAATTTATCTATGGCTGGTGCTATATGTTATATACTTTGTGTTTTGATTTTCTTTTTGTAATTTTTTTTATTTGTTATTGATAACGTGTATATATATATTGTTTGTAGGTTTATATCCGTTATGTTTTGCCATTATTGATAGTGAAAGTTATGACAGTTGGCATTGGTTCTTGTCAAAGTTATTTGTTATTTTGACTCCGGGGAGGGATATTGCGTTTGATACTGATCGGCATGGAGGTTTGCTGAAAGCTTTAGCTGAGGTCTTTCCGTTTTCTTCTTATTCTTTTTGTCTAATGCATTTGAAGACCAACTTGAAGATTTATTTGTCAGTGAAGAGTCATGAATCTAAAGAGTATTTGCTTACTTTTTTTAGTAGATGTACATATGCTTCTACTATTAAGTTGTTTAATGAGCTATTTGAAGAATTTAAGGGTCATTGTGGTCATAATGTTGAGAAGTTTATTGAGGATTTGCCTAATAAGTGTTGGTATAACGCTTATTTTCAAGGCAAAAGGTATGTTAAAATGTGCACAAATGCTGCGAAATCTTTTAATTCACGGATTAGGGATGAATGCCATTTGTTTTCAATTAGTCTTGTTGATGCTATACGGGTGAAACTAATGGAGCAATTTTCAAGAAGGAGAGAAGTTGGGAATAAGTGGAATTGTATTGTTTGTCCTTTTGCAGAGAAAAAGTTGGAAGAAGCTTTTAATGATACAAAAGCATAGATAGTTAAGAAATGTAGCGATGACATTTATGAAATCCAATTGGATCATTCAGTTATGGTTGATATTGGGAAACGTTCTTATTCTTTTCGATTGTAGGAAATTGATTCTTTTCCTTACAAACATGGTTTTTGTGCTATACAGAGAAGTGGGAATGATCTAAATTATTTTCTTGATGATTACTATCGTGTTAGTAGTTATTGTGATTCTTATTCACATTTTATCTATCCAGTTTCTAGTATGTGGAAGCCAAATGTAGTTGATGATGACGTTGTTTTACCTCCTCTTTGTAAGAGACCAGCTGGACGTCCAAGAACAGAGAGAATACCTTCTAAGAGTGAAATCAAGAGAATTAGGTGCAATAGGTGTGGAAAGATGGGAACTCATAATCGGAAGACATGTAAAGAAGCTTTGTTTTAATTGTATTGATTTTAATTGAATTACTTTGTTGAGAGTTGAGAGGTGTTGCTTGCATTGAATGATTGAGTATTTTTTGAAAGATGTATCATTTTGGTACTTGCATTGAATGATTGAGGAATTTGTTGAACATAAATTATATTTTTTGCTGATATTTTTACAGGATTAAGTTTCACAGATTTATATTATTTGATTTGGGTTAAATGTAGTTGCTATTTTTGGTGTTTTATACAGTGATAAATTTATCACTGGTTGTTTTGGACAAGTTGGTGAATTATTTTTTTGTATGAATGATAACTTTACCATTGTCTGAAGGAAGCAATCAACCATTAATGGGGTTCCTGAATTTTGTTATTTTCAAGAATGATAAATTTATCACTGATTGTATGGGAAGAGTTGACGGTTTATTACATTTATGTCAGTGGTTGATAAATTGATCACTGTCATATCCAAGCAAATGTTCTTTTTTATAGTGATAAATTTATCACTAACTTAAACTCAACAAAAATCAATTGATGTCGCTAGTTATGCATGCTTTTTAATTCCCAATTTGGACAATGTAATAGTGTTTGTGCTTTAATTTTAATTTTTAATTTAGGTAAATTTTTTATTATTTTTTATAGTGTTTTGTTTACTTGAATTGGGGAAAAAGAATGAGAGAGAGAGAGAGAGAGAGAGAGAGAGAGAGAGAGTTGCTGGTTTTTTTTGTTTGAACAGTGGTAAATTTATCAGTATTCACAGTGATAAATTTGTTGAAACAGTGATAAATTTATCAGTGTAAACAAAATACTATAAAAAATAAATTTATCAGTATAGTGACTCCAAACCTGCTATTAACCTTTAAATTCAATACAAATAATCAGATTAGAATCAATATTTTGAATGAAATTTGCATAACAAGACTGATATCAAATTAAGAACCAATCACTGTCCATAACTTTGACATTGTAACAACCAAGCATTGTAATATTCATTGGAGCAAAGTAAGAACCAAAATCATCAAAATACAAGTAACACTGTAACAACCAAACAAGCAAAATGTATGAAGTATTGACATTCTAACAACCAAATGAATCAATGTTTCCTTTTGTTTTCTTTTCTTCCAGATCTGTTAATTATTGCGGAGGCAAGTCATCAATATTTTCATCAACTATTTGTTGTTGAGCAGCTTGTTGGTCAGTCAAGAAAATAGTTAACATATCAGCTCTCAATTGATTGCATTCTTCGTTGGAAAAAGTAGGCATTATGTTGTTTTTGAAAACATATTGCCTCATGATATAGTAAACAATGATTCCACAATCAAGCCTGCAAAAATATTTTGAAATCAAAATATTATAATTTGGTTTCGTTGCTTTTATTTTATTTTATTTTATTTTTATTTTTTTATAACAGTGTTTTGTTATTGATAAACTTACGACGTGTCTTCTTGTTGTAGGCTATTGATGACGCTCTCTGTCTCCTGTTGAAATTTATCAGGGTTGATGAGAGTTAGCTTCTCATCCTTTATGTACTTGTCAATAATCTCTCTCTACAACATATACATTTGTATAATTGTTCTATTAGAAAGTCAGTTGAAACAATTAATGATAAATCATGGATTTAAAGAATGATAAATATATTACTGTATAAATATTTTTGATATATAATTGAGCATGGATCAGGATTGATGCATTGGATAAATGGTAAGTTTGATAGTGAAAACGTTTTTATCACTTCATTTGCGGCATTGAAGTGTGGATCTTTAGGCATTGCTCCTCTTGGTCTCATGGAATTGTAGAATTTCCATGAACCTTCTTCAATGTCAAGGACAATTATTGCCCAATGAAAATTTTGGTAGATTGGGAAGAGAAGGTATCTTGCTTTCATGGCTTCAGGCATTAATTTGTTCAGCATTCTCTTTCTTGCTTCCTCATCTTTTGTTGCCAACAAGTGCTAACAAATACAAATAAAAAAAATAATGTTAATTTAAATTTAAAATTCTTCAAATTAAATAGGTGGTGAGTATGAAACTTTTTGTTACTGTGATCGAAATTTTATCAATCCATATTAAAATTTATCACTGCATTGCAAAATTCATCTATATTACATATAAAGGGAACACATCTATTGGTGTCTTGAGGCCTTTTTTTCTCCTCCATGCCAAATGGATGTTTATATTTGCTAATATATCTATACTATTTTTCTCTTTCATTCTGTAAATATTCATAGATGATCTATAAATATTCAAGTACACGTATGTGAGTGTGCACATCTACTAATATATATATATATATATATCATGATTCTCTCCATTCCATAGTTGTAATGAAAGATGTCCATTACTTAATAAATTACATTAAACAAGAGGTCTAATATTTGTTTAAACAAAACAAAGGTTATCAATGGATACCTCAATATGTTTCAGATCATGAAAGGATGACTTTGCCAATTGTTGTCCCAGATGTGTGATGTTCCATTTTGCAAATCTTGGGATTGCGTTCTTGTCATTTGGTTTGATGATCTTTGTATGCTCGCATATCCAATACTGTTGAGGACAAAAAAAAATGTTATAAATAAGTATTTAGTAAATGTAAATATTATAGTTTATAAGTTGTAAGTGAGGTATTTACTTACCAATAAGACAATCACACATCCGCACACTCTATCAATTTGGTTGATGTTGCTTGCTATTGATCTTGTAAGATGTTGTTTTGTTGCGCCACACTAATCATAAGACTTCATTTTGTCAATATCCTCGAGGTATTTCATGAACCCCCAACCAATTGTAGTCCTAGTATCCGGATACAACAAAAGCAAACAAACCAGAAGGCACACAAGCCTAACAACATCTTCTACATCTTCATTGTTGTTGTTTGTCAAAAGTTTTGTTATCAACTTTTGGATTGAAATACTTGTCATTCTGCTCTCGATTATTTTCCTTCTTTGCACCATAGCTACCTCATTTTTTCTTCCGTATGCTAGATTCACCTTCTTCTGTCCACATGTAATTCCAAAAATTAACTTGAAGTCATTTCTTTTCAACTTCAGTTTCTTCCCACCAATTTCAAATGTGGTTCCATCCATTTGGTAAGTTTGCAAAATTTTTGCAACCACATCATCATATTTAATTGAATCTCTTCTTTTAATCTTGTTTTCACTCAATGTATCAACTAGAAGTGAAAAATGAGTTTTTCTCAATAGTGTCAAATGCTCCTCTCTAAGTTTTGTTGTCTTGAAAATTTTGATAAGAGATTGAATGTTAGAACGGTAGACATACTTTGCTTCATTGTCATGCATCTATTCAGTCCTAGTTTTTCTTCCATCAATCTTTTTCTTCCCTCTTGCTTTGTGGAGCTTTGTAGCTTGTTTCAGTTGTTGCTGTTTGGGCTCCTCTTTGTCAATGTTAGATTCAGGTTTAATTACTAGTTGATTTTCACTTTCATGTGTTGTTGGCTCTATAACAAACTCAACTTTTTCAATCTTTTTCTTCTTTGAGAAAGTTGTTTCTCGACAACGTAATCTTTTACGATGACTGGGAACATCTGTACAAAAACATTGAGTATGAACATTGAAAATTAAGAAGAATTTTATCACTGAATTAGGCAAACTAAGAAGAATTTATCACTCTATTATGCAAATTAAGCAAATATATAACTGTATAGCAAAGTTTAGATTCTAAATTGCCAAAGAACATGAAGTATCATGATGAAGATGAAAACAACTGATAATTTATCACTAAATGAGGTAAAGTAAGTAAATTTTATCACTCGATTAAGCAAAGTAAGCAAATCCATTATTATAACAAATTTTATCACTCGATTAGGCAAATTAAGCAAATCTATCATTGTTATAACAAATTTTATCATTGAATTATTCAAAGTAAGGAAATTCGTCATTGTATAGTTATGAAAGAAGAAGGAAAGCAAATCTATCGTTATAACAAATTTTATCACTCAATTAAGAAAATTAAGCAAACATATCATTCTTAGAGCAAATTTTCTCACTAAATTGGGCAAAGTAAGCAAATCTATCATTGTATATCAAATTTAATCACTGAATTAGCAAAAGTAAGAAAATCCATCATTGTATAGGAAATGAATATGAAGATGTGATTATTATGAAGTTGAATATTAATTATAAATTAATACTGTATGATACACATTGAAAATAGCTTCAAGTCGAATTTTATAACTCAATGATAGTTATGAAAGAAGAAGGGAAGCAAATCCATCATTATAACAAATTTTATCACTCAATTAAGAAAATTAAGCAAATCTATCATTCTTATAGCAAATTTTCTCACTGAATTGGGCAAAATGAGCAAATCTGTTATTGTATATCAAATTTTATCACTGAATTAGCAAAAGTATGTAAATCCATCATTGTATAGCAAATGAACATGAAAATGTGATTATTATGAAGTTGAATATCACTCATAAATTGAATCAAAAAAGAAGAAGAATATCACTCATAAATTAATACTATATGATATACATTGAAAATAGCTTCAAGTCGAATTTTATCACTTAATTATAGTTATGAAAGGAGAACGGAAGATGAATATGACTCACGTTTGATTCGCATGTTTGTTGAAGATGAACTAAACA